TCAGCCTCCCAAAGTGCTGGGATTACAGATACCAGCTGGAAAGTAGATTTAAAACTGTATTTCCTTATATAATTTCAACATGTTGGGAAGGCAGGAAGATTATAGGGATAAAGACTGGGGGAAAGCACAGAGCAGTAAAAGCCAGAGGGAGGGACAGGAAAGTGAGTGCTGACTCCTAATACCCTCAAACCCTAATCCTAGGCAGTGGTCCCCCATTACTGGGAGCTTCTCTCCTTTCATAGGATAAAGGCTTTACTGTGCAGAAAAGCTTCTATAAGTAACAGGAGTTATTCAAATCTGAAATACAGACACATGTATGCCTGTGTGTGTATTTATGTTTGTAGATATACCTATACTATCTACATACCTATTAAAGAGTAGATATTACATACTTATTGTTTAAAATGGGGAAGAAGTAGAAATGCCAGGGAAAATTTACATAATTAATTACATTATTTTAGTCTTACTTTCCTTCTAATTATAGAATGTCTTGTAAAGTACTATGAGGTATTATTCCTAAAATCATGGCACAAGCCGTAAATGTAATGCAGTAAAATGATGAGTTAAAAATAATGCAGAAAGAGCATTTTGATAAATATGTGGCCCTCATAATTTCTTCTTATAAATAGTTTGCACGTGGTTCAGGTCATACCAAAGACAAAGAGTTAACACAGCACCAAAGAGAAGCAGGGCCATTTTCTAAATTCCTAAATACTATCCATTTAAAATAATTAAATAAATCAACTGGGCAAATTCTTAATAATGTTCCATAATATTGCCTAATCTTCGCTGGTTATTTCCTTTATTTTTTTACCTATTATTTGCTATCCATTTTGGAGTGTCCTAACTTCACTAGTTTTATAAGACATTGTGCCTCAACTGGTTAGAGGCTCAACACTTATTAGGAAAAAAATGACATTACAGGTTTTTTCGATTAAAGAAACTATTAATAAAAGGAAACAGGGCATATTTTCTCTCTGAAGTGTAACAATTCACCGAAAGCTCTCCTCACGTAGCACGCAGGTGACCTGCAGCTGCTGGTAAGGGTGAGCTCACACCAGGGAAGCGGCAAGGGTACCATATCCAGGGAAAGCAAATGTGACTTTGGGAGACTTAGTCATGTTCAGATAAGTTGCCATGTGTTGAACTGTTCGTTTGATCTAAATGTCAGATGAGACCTCTGCCAAGGCTACATTGATAAGATGTAATAGTACTAAGAGCTAACATTACTGAGAGCTTATTACTCGCAATGTTCACATTCTCTCTCAACATACCTAGGAGGTAGGTGCACCTATTTTGCATGTGACAGAAACTGCTAACTGCCATTCATATCCATTCTCCTCTTTTTCTTCTTAACTGAACCCTTATTTCATTAGGGGCAGCAATGTGACCACCTAAGACTACATCTCCCAACCTCCCCTGCAGCTCAATGTGTCCGTGACACTAAGTCCTAGCCAGGAGACACACAGAGAAGGGTTGTGTAGAACTTTCAGGAAGTCTATTGAAAGAGAGCTGACTCACAACTGGGACGCATGCCGTTTTGTCTCCACTCCTCCTCTTTCTCATCCAAGATGACTCTGGTGCTCTAGCCATCACTTCCTAGCCTACATGTCTGGAGCTCCACGCCAGACAATCAACTGATCAGTCTTGAATTAATCTCTAAACTTTTTGTATGGAAGAATAAACCTTTGCATGTTTAAGCCACCACTACATGCAGCTGAACCTAATCCTACACACAGTTACAGAGATGGGAGAAATGAAAGCTATAGAGATTAAGTAATACGTCCAGGGTAACCCAGCAAGTAACCCAGTAAGGAGCAAGGAGCGAGCTAGCCCAGGTCTATTGACTCCATGGTCCACACTCTTAATGAAGCTCCACAAAGGCAGAGTCACTGTCTGCTGTGCCTACTGTTGTGTCCCTGGTGCTAGCAGAGCACCTGGCATGTCACAGGCACACAACAGATACCTCTCAAATAAATGAATGGCTTTGCCATCCTGCCTCATTAGTATTCCAGATAGGAGTTTAAACACAGCTTCCATTGCACTATGTTCTTTTGGAAATTTTAAACACATAGGAGAAAATGCATTATTTTGTCAATTAAATTAGGACATCAGTAAAATAAACATAGAAGTCCTAGCACTCTGGGAGGCCGAGGCGGGTGGATCGCTCAAGGTCAGGAGTTCAAGACCAGCCTGAGCAAGAGCGAGACCCCGTCTCTACT